CTCTTAAAATGCCAATAATAGTGTTCCCTTTAAATGCATATAGATTACAAGACAGTCTGAATTTAATAGCATCTTTCTGGAGGCTACGAAGGGATCTGCCACAAGCCAAGTTTCCTGCTGGGGGAGCAGCAGGAAACTTTTCCTAGGGCCGGGTTATCGCAGCACTTTGTTCCAGATCCATGGTGGGGAAAGGATCTGAGCCTGGGTCCAGCCTGGTCCCAGTTCCTATCCTATTTATATCATCCTGTGGTTCTGGGCTTGTCTCTTCTGCTCAAATCGATACCTTTGAGGGTCAAGCTTTTGATTTCTTGCCCTCTTTGAATTTGGCCACTGTCACCTGTTAAATTTAGGGGTTTTTCCATGCAGCAAACTTCCAATAGCACCAGTTGTTTGGCCATGGGTCCCATGTCGCTCTGGCTCCCGCAGCCATGTCCCCATCCACCCAGCATGACATCTCTTGGGCCAGGCTCAGCCAGTCTGCCCCTACCCCGCAGTCCCATAGTATGGGGGAACCCCTGCACCCCTTTTGGAGCAAACCCCTCCTTTTAGTCATCAGAGTTTAAACTGAGCCTAATTACAAGTGAGAGGGGGAGGAAGACTCTCATTCCTCCTTTATAAAGGTAACCTTGGCAGCACTTCCATTTCTCTTCCTTAAATTTATTGGCAGTAAGGAAGTTGAGCCAAACCCCGTAGTTCATGCTGACCCCGCAGGCTACCGGGTGAAGGGATGCGTCAGGGCTCCTGTATGTGTCCAGATTTTACATAAGGCATGGGCTGGAAAGGTTTTCTGCTCCTAGCCTGTCCGTAGCGGGCATGAAACCCCCCAGCTCTTGCATACTGAAGGGTTTTGGAGTGTAGAGGCACTCTCTGGACTGGGAAGCTCTAGCCTCTGCTTGCAGGAATATTTTGGACTGAAGAGGTTGCTAATAAGGGTGTGCTTAAGACCTTTCTTCTTCTTGTTCTGTTTGTCTCCTCAGGGGGATTATTTCCTAATCAACAGTCCCAGGAACATGCGGCTTTTAGGTTTGCGTTGTCTCAGCTCACGGAACCCCCTAAACTCCTACCCCAGATTGACATTGTGAACATAAGTGACAGCTTTGAAATGACATACACCTGTAAGTAGTGGCATTTGCCATGCTTTCTCTTACTTTGGTTTCTTTATTCCTGACTGGGGTTTTTTTTGTGTCTGAAATATGGGACTTCTTGCTCCAAATGTGCAACTCGCCTTTAGGGTCCATGCAAGAAAACCCCAAACAGACGGGCAAAGGATTTTTGAATCGTTTTGGTTTGTGCTAAGACATAGGAGTGAGGTGGTGCTGCAGTTATTCAGCATATCTTGCATTTTCTTTTTCATTGTTTCCAAAGCAGTATAAAACCCCAAACAATTCATTTCCTCTTGTTTCTCTAACCTCTGCCCAACTCACTATGTTGAGGTTGCATTCCCGTATTTCCTATAGCTATGATGTACAGCAAAGACAACCCTTTCCACCCACAGGGTGCACAGAAGTGTCTGTTTACTGTGAACAACTTCTTCTTCAGCCCCAGTTTAGCCATCTGTCCTGGTAATTTAAGAAAGACCTAGCAGAAAAGAGCAGCAAGATGCAAGTGGAGTCCAGATCCACAATAAGGGGCATGCCTAATAATGACAGAGAGGTAAGAGGGTTACAGTTTCAAGAACCAGCAAAATCACTGGCTCTGAAAACAAGTATTAAAGTCTGAATTCGTACTGCGGAGTCAGTCCTAGGCTGTATCTGCACCCTGCCAAAGCACAGCAAGTTAGTTGTGCCGTTCTTGTTATATGATATAGTTGGGAAAAGGAAAAAACTGGCTCACCAGGTAATGCAAAGATTAGCAGCAACAAATAAGACCAGGAGGGAACCGGAGGAAATAAAAAACCATCACACAGCCCTGTGGTTGCAGCAGGGGCTGTCGCAGCCTTTGCTTCCCTTGGAGCGAGCGGCACGGTGCTGTGCCCAAGGGGCTTGCGCCGCCAGGATGCGATGCACAAAGAATTTCTCGGTTCAACCTGGTGTCAGACGCTTTCTGAGCCTGTGTGTATGAGGAGTGGAGGAACCCTTCCCTTTGTAGAGCCTGTTGGATTGTTGTTGGCTCATGTCTGTAGTATTCTTTTGATTCACCAAAACATCCTCTCTGCAGTTTAGTCATGCGGAGAGTTGGATAGAGGTGGACACAAACTGTTCTCTCTGCTAAGAAATACACAGAAGAGAAAAATGCTTTCCTGCGAAAAGAACCAGGGATGTACAGGAGAAGAATTAATAAGGCTCTTTGAAGGAAAAAAAAAAAAAAAAAGAGGAGTTGAGATTTTTTCTGTGGAGGGTTTGGAAATACAAGATTGCAGGAATTGCCTGGCTGGTCTGACATAGGAGAGAGAAGTAACAAGTTTGCCGCACTTTCATTGGACTGTTTAATGACACATCTAAAGATTTTCTATTTTCCTTAGTATTCCTCTATTTGTCAATTACAAGGTGTCCATCAAGGAAGAACAACTATTTCAGCTCAATCCAGTGGCACTTCCTTGGCAGGAAAATCAGACAAATAGAAGAAAAAAGACAAACCTTGTATCTATC